CCCTGTGTCTCTCCCCTCTCCCTCCCTCCCTCCTTTCCCTGTGTCTCTCCCTCCCCCCTTTCCCTGTGTCTCTCCCCTCTCCCTCCCTACCCCCTTTTCCTATCTCTCCCCCTGCCCCCAATTTACCTTAGAGAAGGCAGGGGGCCGGCCGCGTTCCAGACTGGAGCCGCCGGGCCGGGTGGCAGCTTCGCCGGTCCGGCGGCACTCCAGTCATTGGTGTCACTGATGGCTGAAGGAGGAGGAGCCTGTCTACCATGCTCCCTCGCGGTTCCTGTGCTGGGAATTGTGGGACCCGCGAGGGAGCATGGTAGACAGGCTCCTCTTCCTTCCACCATCAGTGACTGGAGTGCCGCCGGACCGGCGAAGCTGCCACCTGGCCCGGCGGCCCCAGTCTGGAATGCTGCCGGCCCCCTCTCAGTGTGCCACCTATGTGGCAGCGCAGCCCCCAGGTGCTGCGGACCACCGGTAAATTTCCCGGTATCCCGGTGGGCCAGTCCGGCCCTGCACCTGAGGTTTCTGCTCTGCTCCAGTCCTCCCACCCCACCACCTGCTCCCTAGAGCATCTCATCCGTACTCTGTCTTCTTCTCTTTATCTACCTCTCACTAAAATTTTCAATCTCTCTCTCCTCTGGTATATTTCCATCGCCCTTCAAACATGCAACTATAACCCCAATTCTAAAGAAGCCCAACCTTGACCCTAACTCCCCATCCAACTACTGTCCTATCTCACTACTGCCTTTTGCATCCAAGATCCTTGAAAGAGTTGTGTATGTGAGATTGACAGACTTCCTCGAGTCAAACTCTCTGCTAGACCCGCTTCAATCTGGTTTCCGCGGTAAGCACTCTGTGGAAACAGCACTAACCAAGGGATCCAATGATATACTCGCTGCAAAATCTCATGGTCACTACTCTATCCTAATTCTCCTTGACCTTTCTGCGGCTTTTGACACTGTTGATCATCAACAGCTTCTTCTCATTCTCCTCAATATCGGTCTACAAGATATTGCTCTCTCCTGGTGCTCTTCCTACCTCTTCCAGCACTCTTTCAGTGTTTCTTTCTCTGGCTCTGCGTCTTCTCCCCAACTCCTCTCTGTTGGTGTCCCCAAAGGTTCAGTCCTTGGTCCCCTACTGTTCTCTATATATACTGCCTCCCTTGGTAAACTAATTAGCTCCTTCGGCTTCCAATATAATTTCTATGCGGATGACACACAAATCTGTCCTCTGCTGATCTCTCCCCATCCCTCTTGACTAGTGTCTGACTGCCTCTCTGCTATTTCTAACTGGATGGCTGGCCACCTCCTTAAACTCAACTTTACCAAAACTGAAATGCTGGTCTTTCCTCCCTCAAGTGTTGCTACTCCTGTGTCTGTCTCCCTCCAAGTCAACAGTGCTACCATCAGCTTCACCAAGCAGGCTCGCTGTCTAGGTGTTCTCTTTGATTTCGACCTCTCCTTCAAGCCTCATGTTCAATCTATCGACAAATCCTGCTGCTTCCATCTCAAAAACATTGCGCGCATCATACCCAACTTAACACTAGATGCGACTATGGTGCTGGTCTATTCCACTGTCTTTTCTCGCCTTGACTACTGTAATCCACTTCTCAGTGGTCTTACGTGCTCCCAACTTGCGCCGTTACAGTCCATAATGAATGCGGGGATGAGGCTCATCTTCCTGTCTGCCCGCACCTCCCACGCCTCACCCTTCTGTCAGTCCCTACATTGGCTTGCTGTAAGAAAGGGCTCTATTTAAAATTTTGGTTCTTGCTTTCAAATCTCTACATAATGCTGCTCCCACCTATCTATCCTCCCTAATACATAAGTATGTGCCGTCTAGGCCCTTACACTCTGCTGGTGACTCACATCTATCTTCTGTCCGTACTCCCACCTCTGATGCTCGCCTTCAAGACTTTTCGAGGGCTGCACCGTTCCTGTGGAACTCACTTCCCATCACCGTTAGATGCTCACCCAGTCTCCACTCCTTCAAAAAAATAATTAAAAACCCACTTCATAAAAGCGTATCAATTAAACTGTTAATAGCTCCTGACTGATTCCTCTCTTGCAACTGTCATTAGTCCAATACTATCCTTACCTTTTGTGTCAGGGCCCTCAACCTCTCTGTTCCTGTGTGTCAAACTTGTTTGGTTACTTCTACATGTTTGTTCGTCCACCCACTGTAAAGCGCTGCGGAATTTGTTGGTGCTATATAAATAATAACATAATAGACTAAAAGTGTTAGCTGAGTAATTTTAACACATCACTGCTGTTAACTACTGGCAAGGATTGGTAAAGCAGAGTGGAGTGTAACTCCACTTTGCCTTAGTCATACCTCTAGCCAGGTGTGTAGCCACATGTGCCAGTGGACCCTTATTCACTGTTAAAAACAGATACTGCAGGCACCAGAACTACTTCAGTGAGATCAAGTGGTTAGGGCAGTGATGGCTAATCCTGACACCATAAATTGTTTCTGGACTACATTTTCCATGATGCTCAGCTAGCTTTTAAACTCTAGGGCAGGCTTCCCCAAACTCTGGCCCTCCAGATGTTGCTGAACTACAACTCCTATGATTCTATGAATGAAATAGATAGGCCGAGAATCATAGGAGTTGTAGTTCAGCAACATCTGGAGGACCAGAGTTTGGGGAAGCCTGCTCTAGGGTATCTAGAGAGTCCATTTAAGGAATGGGAATGAACAAGAATATTTCAATGTTTAAGCCAAAATAGTTTAATTAAATTTTTTTTTTTTAAACTGCAATTTGGGGGGCGTGGCTAGCTGCCGAGCAAGATGGAAGCATAATCCACAGCTCCGGGTTAAGAGCTTCCAATCCAACGCCATCCTGGTTTACAGAGCGCAGCAAAAAGAGATACTGACAAGATGTCTCAACATAAAGCAAAGAAGAACGCTGCTAAGGCAGAAAAACTAAATTTCTTTATGCAGAAAACAGCTCCCGACCACACTGACCAACAGGCCTGGAGAGAATGGAGGAACCACTATATGATGCTGATAAGCAAGGAAACTCACTGCAAGCTACCTCACCAAAGCATTGGACGACCTTTCCAAGAAGCTGATAGCTTCATGGCAAGCCTCCATGGACTCCCTGCACAGGGATGTCAAATACCTTGGCCAGTGCACACAGAAAACAAAATGGAGGAATTTGCCTCCGCGCACAATGACCTGGCATGTCATGTAGAAGAGATAGAGGCAAAATTGGACCGCACAGAAGCCAAGATCGCAGACCTGGAAGAGCGGGCGCGTCGGGATAACATCCGCATCAGGGGAGTACCTGAAACTGTCATACCGACGGAACTCCAGGCCTATGTTCAAGGCCTGCTCCACGCATACGTACCTGAAATCCCCGCTGACATGATGCTCGTGGACCGCATGCATCGGGTCCCGCGGCCCAGACACCTCCCAGACTCGACCCCTCGGGACATGCTGTTTCGTGTCCACTATTAGCACATCAAGGAACTAATCCTCAAAACCAGCAGAAATAAGGCCAAACCTCCAGATGCCTACCCCACTGTGAAGCTCTTCAGTGATCTCTCGGCGGCGACACTCCGCAGGCGCAGAGACTTTGCATCGGTGGTCGACATACTGAGGAACAACGGCATCCGATACCGCTGGGGATTCCCGACCAGGATCTTGGCAAACAAAGAGGGAAGACTGATACCTCTGCTCTCCCCAGAGGATGGACTTCGCAAGCTGAAGTCCTAGGGCCTTGATAACATACCGGACGACCAAGCGGCACCCACGCAACGATCGATTAGACTGGACTGGCATAAAATCCCCAGCAGCTGCTGACAATCTGAACTGTTGTTCTAATTAATTCCCGGTACCGCAAGTATCTCTGATATATCTATGACGAATCCACGGATCCACCAATATGTTATATGTTTTTTTTTTGTTTTTTTTTCTATCATAAGGGTTAACTTACATTCAGATAACAATGTAAGGCTATTAGTTACTGGTGTAATGACCGCCAGCATAATGCTACACTCTGCCACGTTCTCCCCACACCCATACTGAGATACCCCCAACATTTAACTCAAACAGGAAAAATACAAAAAAAAAAAAATTATTTAAAAAAATAAATTAATAAAAAAAAACATTTTTTAAATTTAAAGCAAGGTCAATTTCCCACAGGAGGGTACTGATAATTGGCGGCACTAACAATTTGAGACCAAGCAATTGTAACTGTTCCGATGGGGCCCAAAACGGAATAGGCCCGTGCAGCCGAGAAAAGGGGGAACCGCCACAGTAAGGGGAAGAAGGTCCCATTTTTTTCTTTTTTTTTGGTCCACACACCAACATATGCAAGATATTGGCAGAGTAAAATTAACTCCCCCCCCCCAAAAAAAAAAAAGAGAGCGGACCTGGGAACAGAACTTATTATAGTTATATGTATGTTGTTTAAGTCAGTTTCATTTATGTTTCATTTACATTGATTGCAGCAAAAGAATGTATAATACCCTATAGGCTATGCCACACTTCCACTTCTGGCATATGGTAGCTCAGATGCCGCTCACCGCCCACAAGTCACAAGCAGGGAAACTGCTGAGGTTCACCTGGGACGAGACCCTAACACTAGGCTACCAATTATATAAGCACAACCCAGCACCGGCACCATGACCGGACTAGCTCTGTATACCCAATTCAAGGTGTAAAATAGCTCACTAGCCACCCAAAGGGACCCTGCATCCCTAACAGGACCCTACCCTAACGGGACCCTACCTGTATATAGCCCCTCCTCCCCTGGTTAACCCCCCCAACAACCCAAGTTTAACCCCCCCATCCATCATGTGACCTATCACCCATGAATACGGCCATTCCAACCACCCGACAGACACCCACCACCACCACTAAGGAGGCAAACAAATTATTAAATCATACACTACAACTGAGAATTGAGACGCTAAAGGTTGCACAGGTTGCAATTTATCCCAATGTTACATGTTTACTCACATAATGTGAGGGGCATGAACACCCCTCACAAATGTAGGATGTTACTCAAGGACGCAAAAACAGCACAAGCTGACATTGTATGCCTCCTAGAGACACATTTTGTCAAAAGCAAGGTTCCCTCCTTTGGCACCAGGGACTACCCAACACAATACCATGCTACACACACATCAAAAGCTAGAGGGGTGTCAATTTTGGTGCACAAATCACAAACATTTGAAGACAGCCAGGGACGATTCATCATACTGATATGCAATATAAACAGCACCAGATACACCATAGCAAACATATATAGCCCCAACACAAACCAGCGGAATTTTCTGCACAAGGTACTCACGAAACCGGAGGCCCTCCGCTCCCCACAGCTCATTGTCTGTGGAGACTTCAACCATATATTTGATCAAGACACTGACACATCAGCAACCCCGCTACTATCCAGAAGTAGAACATTACACACTCAATGCACATCCATAACCAAACTGCTGTCAGAATTCAGCACATATGATGCATGGCGAACATTGCACCTTGGAGAGAGGACCTATTCACACTACTCTCAGGTTCATAAGACCCACTCTAGAATAGACCATATACTGATATCGGCCTCGACACTATCCAAGACACTACAATGCTGAGAGATACTACCACACAGCACTTTATCTTCCCGACGCCAGCCCTGCAAACCACCATAGATCAAATACAACAACAGATTAATGATTGGCACTTAAGCAAAACCATGTACATGCAACAGAAACTTAGGACAAGGGAATATGCCCAGGGCAATAAATCTGGGAAACTGCTAGCATCCAGAATCAGGCAGCAACAACAGGTCCAAAAAATTCCTTATCTCCTACAGGCAGATGGCACGAAAATATATAACCCACAACATATAGCTGACGAACTAGCAAAGTACTACTCTACACTATATAATCTCAAACAAGACACGACAATACACCAACCGACAACAACCGACGTTAGTGATTTTCTATCACAAATGCAACTCCCAACTCTCTCGCTGAGCCAACAACAAACACTTCAGACCCCTATTACAGTAGACAAAATCTCTTCAACGATTGAGGCACTACCAATCGGCAAATCACCAGGGCCTGATGGACTCCCAAACCTATATTACAAAACTTACTCCAAAACATTAGGACTACCCTTACAAGTAGCATTCCAAGCAATGATAGAAACAAGGAACACGCCACAAGAGATGTTGATGGCACACATAACAGCACTACCAAAACCAGGGAAACC